TGTGTGTATGCATGGTGTGTGTGTGATGTTATTTAGCCCGGGGGCATTACTGTCACTACCTTTCAGGGGAATCCTGGCTTTTCAGCCAAGACCTCCAAGAGGTGTGAGTGGAGCTTTGGGGTGGGGGATGCATTTCAGGCAGGGGACAGCCTGTGTAAAGGCCCTGAGGCAGGCCATTGGCAGGTGTGTTGGGTGTGTGTGTGTCTGTGTGTGTGGGGGGTCCTTGTGGCTGGGACGGAGTGAGCACACTGGGGAGAAGCCGCTGCACTGGTCTAGGGCGTCAAGGAAGGCAAAGCCACTGAATCCTGCCTGGGCCCAAGAGAGGAGCCAGCACATGAATGCAGTGCCCCGAACCCCTTGAAGGGCAGGCTGCGGGTGGGACAGCTGAGCAGCTGGCAGGAGGAGCCAATGAGATTTGGGTGGGTGGAGTGTGGGACTCCCATAAGTCACGAACTCAAAACCCAATTCACTGCCATCGAGTCTACTGACTCACAGCAACCCTAGGGGGCAGGGGAGAAGAGCCCCTGTGTGTTTCTGAGACTGTCAGTCTTTTCGGGGGCAGAAAGCCTCATCCTTCTTCTTCCTAGGAATTGGTGCGTTCCAATGACTGCCCTTGCTTGCCCTTTGCAACCCAACCTGAACTCACAACGCCCCAGGTGTGACCCTAAGACACTCGTGTGAACCCCAGACTTCACACTCACAGCCATCGCGTCAGTGGCAACTCACAGCGAGCCTGTAAGGCAGGACAGAGCTGCCCCGTGAGTTTCTGAGACGGTAACTCCTTATGGGAGTACAGTGAACCCTCGTTTATCGCGGTTAATCGGTTCTAGACCCTACCGTGATAAATGAAATTCCGCGAAGTAGGTTTCCTTATTTGTAAATCAAATATTTTCGTAGTTAGAGCATAGAGGACATGAAAAAACACCCTTTAGTCACCATTACACTCGTATTACCCAATTTATTAAACGAAAAAGGGAAAATACAGTAAAACATTTTGGACGTTACAATGATCATTTATTATTTATTATATTATTTATGGCATCTAGTTTACAATATTACATATTTCACATACAGTATTATTATACATAGTTCTTACAAATACTGTAATCAATAGCCTATGAAATGACTTAAGGGATGTACTCTACAGGTGGGTCACCGTCTTTTTCCTTTGAAGGAGCGGGTGTAGGCAGTGGGTTTCTGGGTACACGTTTAAGAAACATTGTGATTGGCAGTTGCCGACATTGTCTCTTCATTTCAGTGAAAAGGTTTTTGTAGGGTTCCATTGCCCCATCGAGTGCATTCCGGAACTGTAATGCACGATTCATTTCTGGATCCCATTCTTCAATCGTGTCCTGAACTTCTTTGATTGTTCTTACGATATGCGAGAGACGCTCCATTGTGAGGCCAACTAACTCCTCAAAATGCATCTGATACGTAGCTCCGATACGTAGTGATGCAGACAGAAGCGTGTACAGTATGAGCCAATCAGTGGCAGTAATGACAGAGCATGCGCTGTTACACAAAAACCGCGATAGAGTGAAGCCGCGGAAGTCGAAGCGCGAAGTGGCGAGGGTTCACTGTAGAAAATTCCATTGATCTCCCTAGGAGTGGGTGGTGGTTTCAAACTTCAGACCTTTGGGATCTCAGCCCAGCTCCTCACCGCTACGCAACCAGGCTCCTTTGAAGTGGGCATATGGAGGGGACACATGTCCTGTGAGCGAGGGCTGGAACCAGGGACTGCTCCTGTCACTGTTTTCAGCTGTCAAGTGGGCATAGCTTGCCTTCAAGGGATGAGTACCCTCTGGGGCAAGGCACAGGCTGGTAAGATCAGTGGAGGAGTAATGATGGTGCATTCTGCGAAGGGGTCGTGGGTCTGGCTCCCAACACCCTAAAATATTGGGGGTGTAGGTGCTGGCTGGGTCCCGGCCTTTTGTCGGACCCAAGGAACCTCTCTCAGCTGTCCCCCTTGGGATCTCAGGGTGACTGTGGATGGCGCCCACGTGTTGCCATGGTGACGGCTCTCAGGGCTGGGCAGGGGTCTTCAGACCTTGACTGGAACACGGCAAAGACCCTGCAAAAGGGTTCACGCCTGCTCGGCAGGGGAGGGGGCCTGGTCTGTGAGTTATGGTGAGGGGTTCAAACCCACCAGCTGCTCGGGAGGAAAGCGACGAGGTTGGCCGTCCCTGTCAAGACTTAGTCCCAGAAACTTGAAGGAGCAGTTCGCTCTTGCCTTATAAAGTCACTTTGCGTTGGAATGGACTCGGTGGACTGGGGTGCGGGTGGGGTGGGGTGGGGGAGGTGTCAGGGCTGGAGAACGGGGAGACAGAGCCTCCCTGAGGGGTCGGGAAGGGGACCTACTGTCGTCGCTATGGTTTCAGGAGGGCATTTTCCCATGGAGCTGGGGCTCACACGTCCCCGGTCCGGTTCAGTCCCCCTCCGCGCCCCCAGGAGCTCTGCACGTGCAGTTCAGCTGGGTCACACGGGCCGCCATACGCAGCGCCCAGTGGGATTCAGGACGCGCGGCTCCAGACGCCCCGCACCCCTGTTTCCGTCTCCCAGCGCCCCGATCTCCAGCTGGGCTGGTGGGCTGGGCCCGGGAGGAGCCAACGGCTTCCGACTCCGGAGGGGACCCGGGGGGGAGGGCCGGCCGCAGTCCCAGCGTGCCTTGCATTTTCCCCTTGAAATCTGAGGGTTCTCGATTTTAAAGATTGGTTTCGCTGGGGGCCCACTCACATTGAGGGTGTTGGGAGCCCAGCCCCTTCTGAGGAAGGGCTGGGCCGCCCCAGGCCGTGGGAACAGCCGCTACAGGTCCCCCATCCTCCCTGGGAGGAGGCTCTCAGAGGAGGGATGGAGGTGGGGAACGGCATGCGGAGGAGGCAGGGAGAGGTGGCCAGGAGGGCCGGGGGAGGGCTCAGAGTTGGCCAAGAGTGGCTTCCCACTCGTGTGTGCTTGCCTCTCGTGAGGGGCGGCTCATGATGGGTTAAGGCAGCCCCTGCTGGGTTCCCACGGGCTGCATTCTAAGGCAGCTGTACCCTGTAGAACAGAGTAAACTGCTCCTGGGGTTTCTTAGACTAGGTCTTCAAAGGAGCTGACAACCTCATCTTTCACCTACAGAGCAGCGGGTGGGCTTGAACCCCTGACTTTAACTCACAGTCCCACCCAAAGCTTCTTCCTACTCATTGACCCCAAGACTGGAGGAGCCCAGGGGAGGCTCCTGACCATGCTGGGAGAGGCCAGCCTGGCAGGCTTCCTATAGGGAGGAGGCAACATCCAAACTGTGTCTTGAAGGACCGACCAGTGGGTCCATTGGCTGGGGCTGGTGTGTGTGTGTGTGTGTTGTATGTGTGTGTAGGTATCCCAGGTGGAAGGGACAGACAGCCTGTGGGGGCAAGAGAACATTCATTCTGGAAACGAAGATGGGTCGAGTCCGTTATGGGGTCGAGTCTGCCGACTCTAAGAGACCTTATATATGGAGTTCCTAAGGCTTACATACCAAGTTCCTGTGGTCCTTACATTATGTGGTGGCAATTTGAGAGGATTACTAGTGAAGGGGTGGAGTTTGGCCTGTCAATCAAGATATAACCATTGAGGCTTCTGTGTGGGCATGGCCTTCTCCGGAGAACTCTGGTGACTCCCATATTTTCCTCCTTGGAGGCTAGAGACACTCTTCTCTCTTCACTCACTCCCTTGGAGACTCTCTACTGACAGGACACACTCCCTGAGAGATAGACACATAGCGTTACGCCCGGGGAGCTGGAGAAGCCACATGGACCTACCCTGATGCAACCAGATCTCTGGAGCCGGAGAAGCCACATAGTGACCCCTGCCAGCGCTGAGATGCTTACAACGCCACTGGATCCACAAGTCTTTCAACCCACTGACCTGTGATCCTCCTGTATTCAGCACCACTGCATCTACTTTGTGAGTCTGAAGAGGAATGTATAGATTGGTATCAGATATATGGGCTTGATCTGGGTTGGGACATTTTCTCGATATTCAATTGCTTTTGTCTATAAACCTGAATCCTCACAGGAGTGGTCTCGTCTTTCTCTGTCAGGTGGTGGCAGCTGTTAAGGGCCACTGAGTCGGTGCCCACCCACAACGACCCTCTGCACAACAGAACGAAACAATGCACGGTCCTGTGCCCTCCTCACAGTTGTGCCCATTCTTGAGCCCATTGTCGCAGCCCGGTGTCAGTCCATCTCCAAGGACCTTCCTCTTTAACTGCCACGCATGGTGCCCTTCTCCAGGGACAGGCCCCTCCTGTTAACAGGCCCAAAGTTTGTAAGACAAAGTCTCGCCATCCTTGCCTCTAAGGAGCATTCTTGTGGCTGGAATGCTTAGAAAATGCATTTCTATCACTGCACCACATTCCCCGCCAGAGTGCCTACTTCAGTGGTCTCCGAACTTACCCTTTCCTCCCAGAATTGCTTTACTGGCGGAAAGGTTGGCAGTTCGAACCTACCCACGAGCACTTTGGAGGAAAGGCCAGGCAACCTGCTTCCACAGAGCCACAGCCTGGACCACAGTAGGTGGGCACAGATTTACAAGGACCCACGAAGGGTTCAGGAGGCAGGGTCAGCGGCAGGTTTGCACCTGTGTGCGGGTGGAGTCGTGGCTCAGTGTCCGGCTGCAAACCACAAGGTCAGCAGTTGGGAAACATTAGGCGCTCCTGGGGAGAAAGATGGGGCTTTCTGCTCCTGGAAAGAGTTACCGTCTCAGAAAGCCGCAGGGGCAGTTTGACCCTGTCCCCCAGGGTCACTGTGAGCCAGAGATGGGAGCAGCGGCAGTGAGTTTGGTCTCCTTATTCTGGAGAGGAGGAGCGCTGGTGTTGGGGTGGGTTACGTGCTGGGCTGCCGACTGCAAGGTCAGTAGTTTGAACTCACGAACCGCTCGGAGGGAGGATGAGGTTGTCTGCTCTGTCGCATAAGGATACTGTACACAGCCTTGCGCTCTCTCTTCTGGTCTCTGGCGCTCCGGGAGCAGGCGTCGGTGTAGACATGGCCAAGTCCAAGAACCACACCATGCGCAACCCACCCCAGAAATGGCACAGAAACGGCAATGAGAAACCCCCGGACCTCAAGTTCCCGAGGAGCATGCGTGTTGCCAAGAAGCGCAACAAGACGGGCCTGAAGAAAACGCAGGCAGCGGATGCTCTCGTGGAGGCTATCAGGGCTCTCAGGAAACCCACGGATCTCAAGGCTCAGATCCCCATGGGCGTCCACCGCAAGTTCAGCCGACTGGCCTGCACTGCCCAGCCCGAGCTTGGCAAGGAGGTTCGGGTACGTACTGCCAAGGGTCTGAGGCTCTGCCTGGTCCAAGGCACAAAGCAAGGCTCCAGCTGAGGCCTCAACTCCAGTTCAAGGTCCCAAAGGTGCCCAGGCCCCCCACAAAGTAGAGTTCTCCGTCTGAGGATGAGAGGGACTTGTGTGAGCCCTCGGCTGCTGTCTGCAGGGAGCTGGTGTCCTATGCTATTTGTATAAAGGAACCTAGGCGGTGCTAAAACAACAAAACAACCAAACAAAGATGTCCAGTCTCCGAGACCCAGGGATAATTCTGTCCTACAAGGTCGTCTTTGAGGTTTTGTTTTCTTTTCTGTTGTCTGTTCTGGTGCTGTGTATCATGGAGTCCTGTGCTAGTCTGGGTAGACTAGAGATACAAATTCATGGACACTCACAGGCGTATAAGAAAAAACTTTATATACAAGAGCGATTGAATATTGAGAAAACATCCCAGTCCAGTCCAGATCAAGTCCATCAGTCCAGTACTAGCCCATATGTCTGATACCAATCTATAAATTCCTCTTCAGACTCACGAAACACATGCAATGATGCCGAATGCAGGAAGATCACAGGCCAGTGGAGGGAAGTCTTGTGGATCCAATGGCATCATAAGCAGGGGCATCAGCGCTGGCAGGGGTCTCCACATGGCTTCTCCAGCTCCAGAGGTCTGGCTTCATCAGCCTCCCTCCACATGTCTTCTCCACAGGGATGTCTCACAGGAAGCAAGTAGAGAGAATGCGTATCTCCCACCTCCAGGGAGGAATACAGGAGTTCCCAGAATCCTCAGGAGATGGCCATGCCCACACAGAGGCCTCATTGGCTATGACCCGATCACAGACTAGAAACCACCCCTTCACTCTTAATCTTCTCACTCCCAAATTGACACCAGATTATGTAATTACCATAAGCCCCTAGGCCCAGATGACAACTGTGGGGGTAGTGGAAGCAGGCAGAGCCTTGGGAGTCCAGAGGAGGCTCCTGGCCACGCTGAGAGGGGCCAGCCAGCCTGGCAGGCTTCCTGTAGGAGGAGGCCACATCCAAACTGTGGCTTGAAGGACTAGTGGGCCTTGGGGCCCTTGGGGAAGGTGTCCCAGGTGGAAAGGCAGCCTGTGGGGGTGAGAGAACATTCATTCCAGAAACAGAGTGGGTTTCTCGAGGCTGGAACGAAGCCTTTGAGGATGCAGGACTGCCCCTATGAGTTTCTGAGACTCTCAGCTGGAGGTAGGCGTGGCCAGAAAAGGGACAAGGAACGTCTGCTGGGCCCAGCGAGTGACGGACCAGGAGGATGGGAAGGGACATCCTCTTTCTGGCTTTGTTTCCTGTTTCCTCCCTGCTTTGCCAGGAAGCACTATGTAGCTCCGCCCTCCGAGCACACAGGTGATAGGTTCACTCCATCCCTGGTTCTGGGTCAGATGGCTCTTGAATGCTTGGCTCATTTGAGACCGGAACAGAAGAAGAACAGGCTCTACTGTTTCAATGCAAACACATTCAAGGCTGAGAGCGAACAGGCTTTCAGATGTGTGCTGACCACATGCATGCCACCTCTCCACCCATCTGTGAGCGTCTCAAAGTCTCGCACCCGCTGGGGAGTTTGTGGTCACCCCAGCCCCTGGCTCTGCACCGAACTAATGCACCGAACTAAAAAGAAGCGTGTTGGCCACCCTCGGGCCATTTGAGTTGGACTGGGGAAAGTGGCTTCCCCCTTGCCTTTGATTCATCCTTTTCTCTAGAGCCTGGCTATATTCCCAGCCCGTATCCCCCGCCCCACCATCCTTTTACGGTATTTAATCTCTCTCTTCTCTTTCAAAGGATGTGGCCCAGTGACTGTCGCTTTGTCTTCACCTGCGTGTGTCACTGGGGTGTCACAGAAAGCCAAGTTCACACAGAGGCTTTCTGTTCGAGGCCACCCTCATGGGCATGTGTCCTAGGCACACAACGGAGGACCCTTCCCCATTCTCAAAACCACACCCTCGAGCCTGCTTGGTCGAAGGGGGAGCTAAGGCTCAGCTAAGTTAAGTCGAAGACCCAGCGTCCCATGGCTGGTCCCCTTGGCTTCCCTCAACCTACTCCTCTGCTGATTTTAAGATTCTATCTCATCTCATTCCAGTTTGGGAGAAAGGGGCTGGCCAAGTCAGCAGTGCCATCTGTCTGGTCCCATTCCTCTTGGAGGAGGGGCAGTAGGGACCGGCACAAGCCCAACCATAGAAGACAGGGAAACTTTACAAAACCAGACTCACTGCCGGCGGAGTCGATGCCGACTCCTAGCGACCCTAGAGGAGAGGATAGAACTGCCCCTGTGGTTTTCCGAGACTGTAAACGTTTATCGGAGTAGAAAGCCCCGTCTTTCCTCCGAGCAGCGGCTAGAGGTTTCTAACTGCTGACCTTGCCGTTAGCAGTCAGTGTACACCCAGAGAAATGAGAGCAGGGCTGGAGGCTGGAGACCACCCCTGGAGAGTGACCAGTGCTGTACAAGCTCAGGCCCCCAGTCAGTAATATTGAGGTTCCTGGATTTTGGTCCATCCCTCATAACATCCCAGTGGAGGCTGGAGACCATCCCTGGAGAGTGACCAGTGCTGTACAAGCTTAGGCCCCCAGTCACTAATATTGAGGCTCCTGGCTTTTGGTCCATCCCTCGTAACATCCCATGTGCCCTCGGTAAGTCCCCTCCCAGCTCTGCATCTCAGCCGCCCTTCCTATGTGGCAAGTCTGCCTTCTGAGTTCTTATTCTGGCAATGTACTCTTCCTAGCTGAGCTTGGATAGTTTCTCTCGCTATCAGCCTGCTTTTATATCATCTCGAGCCCTGGTGGCGAAGTGGGTCACGTGCTGGGCTGCTAACCTCAAGGGCAGCGGTTCAAACCTATCAGCTCCTCTGAGGAAGAAAGATGAGGATTTTTGCTGCTGTAACATTTCTAGCCCCAGAAACCCACAGGGGCAGTTCTGCTTTGCCCAGTAGGGCAACTATGGGTTGGGGTCGACTTGATGGCAATACGTTTGGCTTTTTGTTCCCTCAGCTCCTGTTCTTGTTTGATGTTTAGTATTTCTTCCTTTAAGGAACCCTGGTGGCACAACACTTAAGCATTCCGCTGCTAACCTCAAGACTGGCTGGTCAGACCCACCTAATGGCACTTGGGCACAGCGACCCTTTAGGACAGGGTCGAACTGCCCCTGTGAGTTTCTGAGACTGTAACTCTTGATGGGAGTATGTATTAGTCTGGGTAGACTAGAGAAACAAATCCATGGACACACATATGTGTATAAGAAAGAGATTTATATACAAGAGCAATTGAACATGGAGAAAACATCCCAGCCCAGTCCAGATCAGGTCCATAAGTCTGACATTAGCCCATATGTCCTATAGCAATCTATAAAGTCCTCTTCAGACTCATGAAACACATGCAATGATGCCGAATGTAGAAGATCACAGGCCAGTGGGTAGAAAGTCTTGTGGATCCAGTGGCGTTGGAAGCATCCAGCGCTGGCAGGGGTCTCTACGTGGCATCTCTGGCTTCAGGGGTCTGGTTGTATCAGGGTAAGTCCAGGTGGCTTATCAGCTGCAAAATCTCCCAGGGAATGGCAGAGAGAGAAGTGTCTCCCGCCTCCAAAGAGGAAGACCCGGATTTCCCAGAATTCTCAGGAGGAGGCCATGCCCACACAGAGGCCTCATTGGCTAGGATCTGATTGACAAGCTAGACTCCACCCCTGCCCTCTTAATCCTCAAATTGCCAAACGATTATATATCTACCACAGAGTAGAAAGCCCTGTCTTTCTAACATCTATTTCAAGAACGATTAAAAAACAAAGCAAAACCAAGTCCACTACCCTTGAGTGGATTCTGACTTTTGGGGACCCAATACATAGAAGAGAACAGCCCCTCGGGGTTTTCAGAGCGATCGTCTTGAAGGAAAGACACTGCTACAATTTTCCACCATGGGGTGGCTGGTAGATTCAAACCACTCTTGGCCAGTAGCCGAGCACTTCACCACGGCTCCAACGAGCCCCTCCGGAGCCATTCTCTGCAGATAGGAGGTGACAGGGACAAGAAAATCCATGGCATGGACTTTTCCCTTTGTACTCATTCCCCTCCCCCCGCCCCCCCTTTTTTTTGAGTCAATTAGTAGATTCATTGTCAAGGTCTTTTTAAGAGTGCACCTTTAGCCTCCTCCATTTCCTCAGATGTAAACTCTTCCAGCGCAGCAGCAGGTGGGAGAACTTCCTGAGGGGGTGGTGAATTCAATACCTTTTCAGGAGAGTTCTCCCAGGTGTCCCCTGGACTGACCTCATGCCTCCGCAGGCTGCTCTTTGGGTACCTTATCTCTGGTCTCACGTTAGTGCTTTCCTGTCACGTCTAAGCATTTGGAGAGGAAAGGGGAGGCTTCCTGTCTACCAGGTCCACCATCCTGAATGGAAGTCAAGCTGCTTCATCATCTGCAAGGGCAAAACTTCTTCACGTGGCTCTTCTATCTGCCTTTCTATAACCCTCACCCAATGATCTTGGGGGGGGGACCCCGCAAATAAGCCATGGGCGACAGCAACAGGGTGGGGGTTGGTCAGTTGTCATTGCCACTCCCTTGGCTACAAGGAGGAGCCCTCTCAGAAGCAGAAATAGAGAAACCCCAGGACCATCAGGGAAGAGGAGCCCCTAGTGGAGTGGGCATGTTTGGGATCGCTGTCTGAAGCGGCAGAGGCCAGGACCAGAGGCATCAGGGGCTGTGGCGTGGAGACCATGGAACCAGACTGAGACCAGAGGCAGCAGTGAGGAGACCAGGAGATAGAAGACAGGAGCAGTGCTGAGACTCTGAGACTGTGGGGCAGAGCATTGGTTGGCTTCCTGGGACCACATGGCTGAGAGGCTGGAGGCTGGAGGGAGACTTGACTTGCTGGCTGAGCTGAAGGGAGGTGTTGCTGTAGACCCACAACTTGGTCTTTACCATCCTGCCCTGTTAACTTCTCTAATATTGATGTTAGGTGCGACCCTATTGACAACAGAATGTAACACCACCCAGTCAGTCCTGTGTCTTCCTCTCAACTGTTGTCATGCTGGAGCCCATTGGCCCAGCAACTGTCAATCCATCTCGTCAAGGGTCTTCCTCTTTTCCACTGCCCCTCTACCTTATCATGCATGATGTCCTTTTCCAGGGACTAGGCTTTCCCACTCACATAGCCAAAGAACATGAGACAAGGTCGTGTGGTATCCTTACCTCTAAGGAACCTCTGGCTGTACTTTTACCGGGATACATCTGTTTGTTCTTTTGACAGTCCATGGGACTTTCAAGATTCTTGGCCAGCACTATAATCCAAATGCATTGATTCTTCTTTAGCCTCCCTTAAGTCAATGTCCAACTTCCACAGCATGGAAGAGGACACTGGAAAGACCATGGCTTGGGTCAGGCGCACCTTAGTCCTCAAAGTGACTTCCTGGCTCTTCAATCCTTTAAAGCAGTGGTGCTCAACCTTCCTAATGCTGCGACCCTTTCATACAGTTCCTCATGTTGTGGTGACTCCCAACCATAAGATTATTTTCATTGCTACTTCATCACTGTTATTTTGCTACTTTTATGAATCAGGCGAACCCCGTGAAAGTGTCATTCGACCCCCAAAGGGCTTCGACCCACAGGTTGAGAACCACTGCTTTAAAGAGATCTTGTGCAGTGGACTTACCCAAATGCAGTGAATCATTTGATCTCTGGACTGCTGCTACCATGAGGACTGATGGTGATGAAGCTCAAGGATTGCAGCCTCCCACAGGGATGGCAACTCCAAGCAAAGACAGCACAAATCCTCACAACTGGACCATTAGACAGCATCATGATAAACAGAGAAAAGATGGAAGTCAACAACTTCCCTAATAAGCCCCCATCATTGTGACGTCACCTGTGAGCTCTGTGTGGCCATTGCCCTGGGTCATGGAACCCAACAGGGACTAGAACGGGTCGAGGGGGGAATGGTTGCTGTTAGGTTAGGGTTGAGAAACATGGAGGGTAGAGGCATGTCTGACCTCTACCTCATGGCAATAGGCCTTGGGTTGCTGAGGGATTGGTTTCTCCTCCATTGTGTAAGCAGAGGAGGTCCGAGATGGCCCCCTCTTGGTTGAGTCGGCGCACCACATCAGGATAAATGGACACAAGCCTGGAGCTTCAGTTTACTTTGATTCACCAGGAATGCCCACGGACACAGCCGTCAAGAAATCAATCAAACAGCTACTCGCCTTGAGCTCATCTTCTGTGTAGGACCTTTGTAAAGTACTGAACAGCAAAGATGCCACTTGGAGGATTTGAGATGCTCCTGACCCAAGCCGTGGTGTTTCCAACCGCCTCATATACATGTGAAAGCTGGCCAATGCCGGAGGAAGACCGAAAAGGATTCATCTAGTTGTGGTGCTGTTGAAGAACATTGAACATACTCTGGACTGTTAGAAGAACAAACGGATCTGTCTTGGAAGAAGTACAGCCAGAATGCTCCTTCGAAGCGAGGATGGTGAGACGACATTTCATGTGCTTTGGTCATGCTATCAGGAGAGACCAGTCCCTGGAGAAGGACATCACTCTTGGGAAACTTGTGGGCCAGTCCAAGGGAGGAAGACCCTCAATGAGATGGATCGACACAGGGGCTGCAACACCAGGCTTAAAATTTCCTTAGCTGACAAATGTGGGTAATAATAATCATACCTCTCTGGGTGTACTTACCTCTCCAGATATACTTAGTTCTTCAGGTGCACTTTGGTGTACTTGCCTCTCCAAGTATACTTTTCTCTCCAGGTGTACTTGTCTCTCCAGATATACTTACCTGTCCTGGTATGCTTATGTGTGTTTGGTCTTCCAGGTGCAGTTACTTGTACAACTGTACCTGGGTGTACTAGGCTCTCCAGGTTACTAGCCTCTCTAGGTATATTTACCTGTCCAGGTGTACTTAGGTGTACAAGCCTCTCAGGTTGTACTTGCATGTCCAGGTGTACTTTGGTGTACTTGCCTCTCCAGGTATACTTTCCTATTCAGGCATACTTTCCTGTCCAGGTGTACTTAGGTGTACTAGCCTCTCCAGGTGTACTTGTCTTCCAGGTGCACTTACTTGTATAAGTGTACCTAGGTGGACTAGCCTCTCCAGGTATACTTAGATGTGCAGGTGTAAAATTTAGGTGTACTTGCCTCTCCAGGCATACTTACCTGCCTAGGTGTACTTAGGTGTGCTTGCCTCTCCATGTGTACTTGTCTCTCCAGATATACTTACCAGTCCAGGTGTACTTGCCTCTCCAGGAGTACTTACCTGTCCAAGTCATGGAGAACACAAAGTAAGAAATGGCATGTACATGGCACATAGATGTTGACCCTGCCTCCTGGGGAACCAGGTACAATGGAACAAAATTCTGCCCCGTCTCACAGGATGCTGGTGATCGCCTGTCGGGGGCACCACCGTGTCCACAGAGTCTCCCTGGGCTTGTTTTAGGAAGTGGATTGCCACGCCTTTCTTGCTCCCAGTTCACTTCCATCTGGAAGCACCACCAATCCTGTTCAGCGTCACAGTAGCAACATGATGACTGATAGGTGGGGTCATGCACGCGGTGGGTGCACTGGCCAGGCAATGAGCCTGGGTCTCTGGCATAGAGAATGAGAACCGTCGTGTGAACCGCTCCGGCCCCTGTAGTAGGAGCTCAGTGAGTATCATCTCCATCCTGGGAGGAACGCAGATGGCATTGGGGGCGTGGGAGTGCCAATAGCTCAGATCCCCAAAGGGCTTCAGGGGCCAGAGGCGGAGAGGTTCTCTGTGGGCTTGCGGAGAGAGTGAATTTCAAGAGAGGTGGATTTTAAAGGAGAACCTTCTTAACCATGTGCGTTCCCACAGCCAGACAGGGGTTGGCTTCAGACAGAAGCCAAGCAGAAACTTGATTCTCACCGGTCAGGAGGCTGTGGAGATGCAGGGGCCAGGGGTGGACTTGACCTGGGCCATCTCTGAGAGGATTGTTCCCTGTGTCCCCCTCCCTGGCTGCCACCTCACAAAGAGTGCCCCTGCTGCTCTGGCCGCCATTAGTTCTGGTTCTGCGACCACAGGAAGACCCGACCCGGCCCTCGCTGCGCCTTCTCTAAATAAACTTGGCCAGTCCGGCTATCTGCTGCCCCATCTCCCTCTGGGTTCCTGTGGAGGTGTGGGGGTGGTGGTTAGAGGGGTGTGCTCAGTCCAAACCACACTGAGGAGAGGCCAGGCGGGAGCTAGAGCCCCCATGGTCCTTCTCACCATCGACATCTTGGCGTGAGAGCACTCTGCTGGCCCTTCCTCCATCTGACCGCCAGCTCATGCTCGGGCCTCTTCTTTGGGCCTCTGCTTGGAGGAGCCCTGGCCTGTGTCTTGCTCCCTGTCTGTGGCAGCAGGTCTCCGGATCAGTCATCTCTGGGCTTGTTTGCTGTCTGGCAGAGCCAGGCCCTGTGCTGGGGGCTGAGGTGGTTGGCATGCTGTGTGCAGGGCTGCTAGGAGTTAGAGGCTGGCTCTACAGCAAGTTGTTGGCAGCAGCCAACCAGAGTGACATCAATGAGTGAATGGCCTCTGGGGTGGAAGGGAGGGTGGTGGTGGTAGACGGGTGGATGGTTGTAGACTCAGACGCGGAATGGCTGGATGTCTGCAGGAGTGACAACCCCAAACCAAACTCACGGCCCTTGACTGGATACTGACTCATAGTGACCCTACAGGACATGGTCGAAGCGCGCCTGTGGGTTTCTGAGAATGTACCTCTGTCCGGGAGTAGAAATCATAATGCCTACACCACCAGGTTGGATAGCTAAGTTCAGGGGACAGGCTGCAAAGAGTTTGTGCCAAAATCCCATCATCTTTCAATTCCATTTTCCCACGAAATGTTTGAAGCGCTCCTGGAAAACTGGGGGTGGGGTGGGGACATGAATGGATACATGGGTGGTGATTAAGTTGACTATCCAGAGACAGAGCGCTCCTTAGAGGCAAGGATGGCGACACGTCATCTTACAAACTTTCCTCATGTTGTCAGGAGAGACCAGTCCCTGGAGAAGGACATCATGCTTGGTGAAGTGGAGGGGCGGGAAAAATGAGGAAGGCCCTGGAGGAGATGGGTGGACTACACAGTGGCTGCAACCATGGGCTGAGGCATCGGGAAGAGTGTCAGGGTGGCCCAGGACCGGGCAGTGTTCCCTTCTGTTGTACGTAGGGTCGCTATGGGTCGGAACTGACTCGGTGGCACCTAACCACAGCAGTCAGTGGGCTGGGTGGGGTAGGTAGGGTGGGTGGCTGGATGAGTGAGTGGGTGGGTAGGCAGATGGGCGGGCCCAGGGGCAGGTGAGCGACTGGATGGGTGAATGAGGGGTCCGGCCTATGGGAGGGTAGGTCCGGCCTATGGGAGGACAGATGGACAAGGGCAGAACTCTGGCCCCAGAGTGAGGAGGGAACGGTCAGCCGCCTGCATGCCCAGCTGGGCTCAGTTAACATCAGACACATCCATTCTCTCTGTAGGACCAGTCTCCCCTCTTCTCATCTCCTGGATCACCCCAGAGGCCGACCTGGACCTCAAGTTGAACTGGCCCTGACCTTGCCTGCTGACCTCAGTGGTAGGGAGACCTCCCCGGATGCCCATCAGAGGGAAGAAACAGTTCCCAACCCGTCCAACGAAAGACAGAGATGGCTGGTTCTTAACCCCCTTCCTTCAAGTGTCCTCTCTCTGATGGCCTTGCCCACTCTTCCAGCCAACACCAAACCATCTCAGATCCCTGGAGCTGCCCACTACTTACCCCAACTCAGTACCCACCATCCGCTCCAGCTTCGTTCCCTTTATCCCCCCTCACCACGCCCACTCCCATCCCAACACCCCCACTTGCTTGGCGGTGGCAGCGACCCAGGGTGATTGCTCGGCAGAAGGTGGCATCAGCTCAGCCTCCCGCCTCCTTCCTCTCCTCCAGGACCAGAACCGCAGCCATGGACGCGGGTCTCCTGGGCCTGACCGGCGTCCCTCAGGGAAGTAAGAGCATGCGGACAGTCCGGGCCAGGAGCCCGGCCATGCGGCGGCAGCGGGAGTTCATGCCGGAAGACAAGAAGGACTCTATTTACTGGGAGAAGCGGCGGAAGAACAACGAGGCGGCTAAACGCTCCCGGGAGAAACGGCGTCTCAACGACGCAGCCATGGAGGGCCGGCTGGAGGCCCTGCTGGAGGAGAACGCCCTGCTCAGGGCCGAGCTGCGGGCACTCAAGCTTCGTTTTGGCCTCCTGCCCACTGTTGGGAGCCCCCGGGCCCTGCCCCTGCAAGCCCTGTTGTGGGAGACCCCGTGGACTAGGGACCCCCCACCTCGCTCCCACGAATGCTTTTTGAGGCCGTGTTCCTTGGACGGGGGAGTTCCAGGATGTCGGGGCTGCCTGGCAACTCACAGGTGGACAGGTCTGGCCACTTCCCCCAGGCCTCCCCAGGAGCCCACACCGCAGCCCCCCAAGAGAATTGACCTGGCCCTCCCAGCCACCCTCCTCAGCTATCACCTCTTGGATGAGCGAGCAGGGCCCAGGCCGGAGTTCAGGCCCTGCTGGGGACTGTGGACACCTGTGCCCACTGGGTGCCAGGGGTCAGCACCCTCAGATATGCTGCTGGCTCCTGCTGCTGACCCCATGGGGCTGCCCCCTAGTGTGGCCTGCCCTAGTCAGGAGGGTCTGGGTCAGCCCTCTCTGCCCCATAAACTGCGGGTCAAGTCTCAAGCCTTAGCCAGGGTGCCTCGAGGCTGGGAAGGTAGCCGGGGTCCCCTCTGAGGGCTTCCCGACCAGGACCAGACTTGTGGAGCAGAAAGTGATTTGGATGGAAGAATTCACGTCCACGTTCCTGACCAGCATGATGGGGGGGTGGGGGTGGGGGGTGCCACCTTGGATCCTACCTATGGCTCCCATCCTGCTCTGAAGCCTGTGCTGTGGGGAGTCCTCTGTTTCCCCTATCGCTCCCTTGTTCCCTTCATTCACTTACCCACCCACTCATCCAGCTACTCATCAACCCATCTAACACTGCTTAACTGTCCTTCCATCTATCCATCCATCCATCCATCCATCCATCCATCCATCCATCCATCCATTGTGTCAAGCACCTTTGTACATTTGTTGCCATCGTCATTTTAAAAACATTTTCTTGCTCCTTGAGCCTTTGATATCAGCTTGGTTTCCTCCCTCTCCCACCCTCCCTATCCTTGCTTCTAAGGAGCATTCTGACTGTACCTCTTT